TTGGAGTCTTGTTTCAATTCGAGTTTGGGGAAGATAAAAATTCTAGAAATCAAACGGCTAAAAAAAATACTGTTCTATTGCTTTCTTCTACAATTTTGAAGATTTTCAATCTATGAAGAACTCCTCTTTTACCTGGGTGAAAAAATGGTTTACAAAGTGAAGTTGGTCGAATTTTTAGAGGCTACTTGATTGAGTCTTACTGCTAATTGTTGCTGTTGTATCTACTAGATTGGTTTGGTTTTAAAATCATTCTCAAGGTCATTTATTCCTCTTTGCTGTAACATGTACATTCTCGAATCCTTGCAATGGAAATATAAATGTTGAATTAAAGATAGTGTTTCAATGTCCAATTTTAGCTCACTTTCCAAAGTTTGATCTTAGAATTCTTGTTAGATGTCTGCAATTTTAATTGAATTTGGTGTTGTCATGTAGTAGCTTGTAACTATAAAGTTTGGACTTTTATTTTTTTAGTAGCTTTATATATATTGGAATGAATTTTCAGCTTTGTAGTGAGGGTCCGATGGCATGATATAACCGTGTTTGACAATAGCTTCATGTCTAAATTGCTCTTAAGGATGCTAAAATGATATTGTTTGGTGCGATTTGGGAAGTGGTGCAGAAAGTAGGATGTTTAGATAATTGATTTAAGTATGAATGTTTGAAAGCAAGCATGATTATTTGATTAGTGTTTCGGTGACTACAAATTTATAGTGTTGCAATGGTTATCATTTGGATGTGTTTGACTTAAAACGGTTTGGCTGGAGGGTCATTCTAATTCTATAAGGCATACTGTCAATTTTAAGAGGGGTTCATGAATTTCTTCAACCTTTTGTCTTGTTTGTGAGATTTTAATCAATCATATGGCAGCATTAGTTTTTGGTTTGCAAATACGAAATCCCCCCTCTTTTGTTTGCATTCTCATTTCCATGCCTACATCAGTTTTGTTTGCTTCTTTGGTTAATGTTTTCCTCCTCGTTGTACTCTTCTAATCAGTAATGTTATCCTGTTGTCATCACATTTTGAATTCGATTTGCTTTTTGTTATTCTATGGGTTCGATACACGACCCATTTGATATTTGACTTGAGCTTGCCTCATGAGAGCTGGGCTCTCCGATTGGGCTCAAATGAAATTTGTTGCGGAGCCCAGCACTCTGTGCCATGGTGATTCCATTGAGCCATTGGGCCTCGTTTCAGGCCAAGTCAATCTGGAATTGGTATAGAATGGACCTCACTTTAGTCTTAATTTTAGACTCCCTTTTAATTAAAACTATATCTCCTTTGTTTTTTCTAATTAGCAGGTCCTTGTAGTTAATTGAGGTGTGCCATTCCAAACAAATAATTTATGGCCCTCTGAACTTTAGTTTGAATTCCTTTTTAAGAATTGGAATTGAGGTGTGCCGCGCCAAATAAAATCTCAAATGCGTGGACTTCATTTAATTATTTCTTTTAAAATCCTTAGAATTTGAGGAGTGCCATTTAGCAAATTTTCCCTGGCCCTCGCAAAGTTAAAAACGCGTAGTTGCTTTAGGCGCGTTATTTTAATAATATTACCTTCCTAAACTCGGGTGCACATTTCACGTGACCCAAATCCAAATCTTAACAACGTCAAATAGAATATGTCTCAGACTGCGGGTGCATTTCATGTGATGCGGTCAAAAGATGTATTTTGGCTGACGTTGAAATCTTCCTTAAAAATGAATAAAAGCTGTTATAAAGTTAAAATGCACATAGGTTCAAAATGTTCTAAAATCAGATAATAGTCCAATAATAACAGTTGAGCGACCGTGCTAGAACCACGGAACTCGAGAATGCCTAACACCTTCTCCCGGGTTAACAGAATTCTTTACCCGGATTTCTAGTTCGCGGACTCTAATATAGAGTTAATCTTTTCCTCAATTTCGGGATTTGAACCGGTGACTTGGGACACCATAAATTTTCCAAGTGGCGACTCTGAATCTTTTAATAATATAACCTCGTTTCGATTGTCCTTTAATTGGAAAAACTCTCTTATACCCTTTCGGAGTATAGGAAAAAGGAGGTGTGACACTTATTAGAAAGATTCAGTTCCTCCCTAGCAAGCAGATATTGGAATGGTGTTACGCATGTATTTAGATATCTTCGGGAGAACTTTAGATATGTGATTGTTTTATTCTAAGGAATTCAAGTCATAAATTATTGGCTATGTCGATGCAGGTTATTGTCTGATCCACCTAAAGTCCGATCTCAAACATGCTATTTGTTCACATAAGGAGGTATAGCTATATCATCACGCTTAATGAAACAAGCAATAACTGCCACATCTTTACATGCTGAGATAATAGCCATTCATGAAGCTAGTCGGGAATGTGTTTGGTTGAGATCAATGACTCAACATATTCATGAAATGTGTGGTTTTCTTATAAAAAAGGTAATCCAACTATACTATATGAAGACAATGCTGCTTGCATACTGAAAAGAGGATACATCAAAGGAGACGGAACAAAGCCCACTTCACCAAAGTTCTTTTTCACGCATGATCTTCAACAAAATGTTGAAATTAATGATCAACAAATTCGTTCATGTTAAAATTTGGCTGATCTGTTCACTAAGACATTACCAACTTCAACATTTTAAAAGTTGAGACAGAATATAGAAATGCGCCATCTTTGAGAAATAAAGTGATATTTTCATGAGGGGGAGTAAGATACGCCTTGTACTCTTTTTCTCTTAGTCTAGGTTTTGCCCCACTAATTTTCCTGGTAAAGTTTTTAACGAGACAACAAATAAAGCGTATTACATATATGTGTACTCTTTTTCCTTCACTAAGATTTTTCCCACATGATTTTTTTTTAATAAGGTTTTCACGAGACATATTATCTATTTTGGACATCCAAGGGGAGTGTTGTAAAACCTATAGTAATTGTGGATGTCCACTACTCCCACTACTTTCACCCATGATGTAAATAACCTCCCACTACTCATCACTATTATGGTTGTAACTCTCACACCTCCATAACCCCTCTCCATGATGTTCCCCATAATTTCAATTGTTAATGTCATGTTTAAATCAATCCTTTTATAACCTTCTATATAATAGTATAAATAGAGGCATGAACTATGACATGGGACACACTTGAGCACTTGAACACTCGATGAAATAAAAAAATTATCTCTTCTTCTCTTATTCTATTTATATTCTTATTTTATTCTTATTTTATATTGTTACATTGAGCTACATTTCTTAATAAAGATTAAATAATTCCACATTTTATTGTTTTTCATCTTGTGAATCATATCACCCTGAGAAAAAAATAAGCCATTATTCTCGGGGGACGGTGCTACTGTACTACCTGCTCCAAATTCCAGAATACAAACCTAGACATGTTAAAGCTACTGTCTTTTGTTTCATCACATAACTTCACTCCATTGTCAAATTTCATTGGAGGCATTCAATTTCAGTCCGCCTTCACACCCACTAATCATTTCTTCCACTTAGCGCGAGTCTTTTCTTCAATCAGTCATTCCCAGTCCAAGGTATGTCAAATCCTACCTTCCTCTTTTCTTTCACTCATCAATTTTACTAGCTGTTTCCCCAGGCACATATCATTGTTGCACTCATATCCTTTTTTTTTTTTCAAATTTAAACCCAGATGGAGGCTGATTCTTACATGTTTGGGCCATACAAGATTGACAAAAAAGAAGTCTTCTACTCCACTGATTTGTCCTATGCCTTGGTCAACCTCCGTCCCCTTCTTCCTGGTAATTCTTATTTATGTCTTTACCTGAAAAATTGCATATGCTAGTAAAGATCATCTTCTCTCACTTTCTTTCTCCACTGAACTGAAATTAGATTTCTGGTATTTTTTAATTTGTAATCTAGGATCTTTTTTTCCCCCTAATTTTCTTTAATTAGTAATAAGCACCTGTTATTTTTGACTGAAACTTTAACCCTTGATAGAAGGAGTGATGCATCCAGGAGCTGTACTCAATACACATAACAATTAACACCATTCATTTGGATGGTTGGAAAATTGTAGAGCAAGCTTTGACAGTAAAAGACACGAGAGAAAGTATGCATACTTAGCGCGATAGCAGAAAACTGCAATTTTATAGGGTTTTGCTTATTCATCCTAGACACATGGAATGCTTCATAGTTCAAGCACCAAACTAACTGCTGGGCAACCTTTTGTTGCTTGAAGCAAATAACCAACATTATACTAGGTAAATGGACACTGTCATATATAAGTGCTTGATCCTATATTTATCTGCTACTCTAGACTAAGGTCTGGCTTGCAGCACTTCTACTGTGTTCATCTGGTAATTAGTCAGAACCAAACTTCTTAAAATGTGGAATCTATGGAAACTCTATCCTCATTCTGCATTCTTCATACAAGATTCTTCTCCAACAAAATTTATAAACAAACACGTTCAATGTAGTACTTCCCTTTTGTGTTACTTCCTTAAGTATCAGACTATCAGTTTCGGGTTCATACTTCTGTTATTGGTATATCCTTCTTACAGTCCCTTGTATTTTGTGATCATTATTCATATTTCTCATGTATCGTAAAAGAAAATCACTTTAGTATTGGTTTGGTTTTATGTCATCATTTTCCGATGTCGCATGAGTACCATCTATTGAGCACTCTTCTTTTGCCGTGCAGGTCATATCCTTTTCCAGACTGTAATTGAATGGTTGTTGGAGATTCATTAAATATTTTCTAATGAGAATATAGTCGCTTAATTGTGATGATACAGAGGAAGCTGAAATATGGTGCTTTATCTCCTCAATATACTTTTAGTATGATCCCTCTGTGCTTAAATGTGGTTTTAACTCCAGAAGTACATGTATTTATGACTTTGGTGTATATCTTCAAATAGAGTATACCTCGGAGGTCACGGGTTTGAGCTGTGGAAACAGCCTCTTGCAGAAATGCAGGGTAAGACTGCGTACAATAGACCCTTGTGGTTCGGCCCTTCCCTGGGCCCCGCGCATAGCGGGAGCTTAGTGCACCGGACTGCCCTTTTTTTAGAGTATACCTCGGATGATCAGTTTAGAAAGTCCAGTACTCTTTTAAATGGTAATGCTAATGCAATGCTACTTGCAATCACTCAATTAATCAACCAATTAGGCTCAATCAAATCCTCAGTGTCAATTCTGTTCTATTTGATTCATTTTTTAATGCTAAGTAATCTAACTTTTAAGGCAGATAAAAAGTTTAATTTTTTAAATAAAATTATTGGTTCTCTATTTTAAAAATAAATTTCTGTAGAGATTTTTAAATCTTACACTAATCCTTGCATGAAAATACAAGTCTCCTATCATAATAACAAGAGTCATGACAAATACCGATCCTAATGTAAGTGTAACAAGTTTGGATTCTCTAAAGATGTAACATAGCAGGGAGCCTGCTTGTCATCTTTTGTACTCCTGCTGGTAGCTTCTCAGTACTATTATATCAATAAAACTACCTTACCTTATAAAAAATAAAAATAAAAATCCAAGTGTTACCGCATCTAAGAATTTTTTGCTTCTTTTGTTTTGTTCTTTGTAAGTCTGCATTGAGTCCGAGAGATCTAGATCTTTTGAGACAGCTTTCCTTGATATGATTTGAGGTCTTCCTTGTTCTCTTTTATCACTTTCAATTATTATATCATTGTACATATGGACCATTGCATGTGAAAATAAACCATGTTAAGTAACCTCTTATTTTATTTTAGTGCTACTTATAGTATATCCTCTGTGTGTGGTTTTCTAATCTTGCCATATCCTGTATATTACCATCCATCTTAACATTTGCATGTCTTGTGGATATGTTAAGGTTTAAAGGACCAACATTCACTACATATAGCATTACTAGTTTCACAACCATTATATAGTATTTGACTTTCACTTTAGTGGGTATCTTCCAATCTTTAAGCACTACCCTGTCACCCCTCCATTTCAACTATCTTTTTTATTTTTATTTTTTATGCATTACATTTTCATCTATCATGCCATCCTCCTGGAAGACTGAGCCTAAATATTTGAATTGTCTGCACTTGTATACCATAGTCCCTTCTGATCTCACTTCACTTGCATTCTTCTTGTGGAGGCTAACCCTCGTAACATTCATAGTATCTTTACTTTCGTAGATCTAATTCTACCAATATAGCTAAGGTTTCTGTCATGGATATATGAACATATGCGATTTTATCCTCATGATTTGTGTTGAGCAATTGATTGCAATATCATTTTCATCTCTCATTGATCTTGCAACTATCCATCAAATTTGTTGGCAATTATCTTAATACACTTACCTTGGTTTGGGTCTTTACCCATCTTCTCTTTTAGTTGTGCTAGCTTATAGATCACATACTCACAGATGCAGAAAAAACATCCAATTAAAGTTAGCTATGATATGCAAAAGTCTGGAGACATAATAATAAATTTGAACTTTGTTAGTTTTTAAGGACAAGTGGCATCTGGCGATTATTAATTTATGTAATACAGAAGAGTTGATTCCCATGACTGGACCATGAAAGCTTGTAACCAGACAAGATAGTGTTATTGGCTGTGGTCTGAATGATTCCTCTCACAAACTCATCCTCCAATGCAGTTAATAAACTTTTTATTGACCGTCATTATGAGGTTTATAATTCTTGAAATATATATTAATAGACAGTTAACAAAGGTGTTATGTCTGTTGGGGATGATTCTTGTTCCAATCTTTTGTTATAACTGCAATATAAGTTTTCTCCCACCAATTAATAGGTTTAATTTTGTGCTTTATTGGCCTTTGGGCATGTCTCACACTACATCTATTAGTTTCTTGAAAGTCTGCTTGTATTCTTTTGTTTTTCTTTTCCTTGGGGTATTATGGATTATGGAGTGGCATTCAAAATCTGAAGTATCATATTTGGTCTACTTAACGAGATGTACATGTGCTTGTCTGCCCAAGACGCGAAGTAAAGCGCTTTGGTGATCTTTCTGCTGATGAAACTAGCGACTTGTGGCTTACAGCACAAAAAGTGGGCAAGCAACTTGAGTCCTACCACAAGGCATCCTCTCTTACATTTGCAATCCAAGTAAGAAGGCAGAGTTGTTATCATTAATGATATTATTGTAAAACCTGATATGCTCAGATTTTTGAAAAAGACAGCTACAACAACAACAACCCAGTATAATCCCACTTAGCGGGGTCTGGGGAGGGTAGTGTGTACGCAGACCTTACCCGTACCCTGGGGTAGAGAGGCTGTTTCCAAATAGACCCCCGGCATCCTTCCCTCCAAGAACTTCTCACCTTGCTCTTGGGGAGACTCGAACTCACAACATCTTGCTGGATGCAGAATTTGATATTTATAAGTATTCTTGGCATCATTGTACAATGTAAAAAGGATAGCCAGATTTTCTTTGTGATTGAGTTATGTATACTTTCACTTATGTTCTTGTTTTATTATTATTTGTTTCCTTTGGCTTATTTTACTGGTTGAGAAGCTGGTCCTAAGTTCTTTGCTTCTGTTAATATCTCAGGATGGACCCCAGGCGGGGCAGACAGTTCCTCATGTTCATATTCACATCATCCCGCGTAAAAGTGGTGACTTTGAAAAGAATGATGAAATTTATGATGCTGTAGGATTCAAATATCTGTTACTGATTACTAGTACTTAGTTGGCTGGATTCAAAATACAAATTGCCGGTACTAATCTTTTGCATTATTCATGCAGCTGGACGTGAAGGAGAAGGAGATGAAGCAATCGCTCGATTTGGACAAAGAAAGGAAAGACAGAAGCATTGAGGAGATGGCTGAAGAGGCAGATGAATACAGAAAACTTTTCTAGTGAAGAGGCATAATATATCATCTCATTATTGTCTTTAGAATCCAGCTGTTGCCTATTGATCACTAACTATTCCGTGGATGTAACATTCGGATATTATAAACTAGTATTATATGATTACATTCTGGTGTTAGCAGTAAGATATTCCCATCTGAGAAGGGAATTTTACTGATATAATTGAAGCTGTTGTTGTTTTTTCCTGTACTCAAATTTGTTTGCTATACCACTGATATATCAATGATAGCCACTGCAGAATTGGGGTTTAGGGTTACAAGCCCTTCAATTATCCTGAGGATTCCATGATCTCATATTTTTTTTGCTTTCCCGACCAGAATTAGAATGTTGAGATACCTTGATCCTTATACTTTCAATCGCGTTATTCTAATTGGAATAGAAGGAGTCCCCATTTTATTTTTGTAACAATGTTTGATGTATGTTTTTTTAAGATGCCATTTTACACTAGAGCCATTTTTACGCTCTTATATAACTTTTTTTCTTTTTAGTTTCAAATTTTATTTATTACACAAAAGCAATGTTCACGTTTAGTTTGGTAGAGAACAAGTACACTGTGTTTGGTGTCATTTGAAGTTTTTCTATTTATTTTTATTTATGTGGATTTCTTTTAGTAAAATATCTGGTTATGGCTCTATGAATAAGTAACAAATTAGTTATTTCCCCTCCGATAAAACTACTTACTACAATTGTAGATGTATTATTCGAAGAGATTTCTTCCTATCATGACAGTTCAATAATCAAGAGTTCACAATTTTGAACCATAATATTATCAAGAGTTCATAATATTATGAGTTAATGTTTTCATTTACTCATACGTAGGAAAGGGGGATAGATTGTAATTTTGGAATGTTCCAAGACTAATTAATTAAGAGATGTGGCACTCTATAATTGCTCAAAGAAATGGCGCGAAAAGAGAAGGCCCAAGCTCACACTTCGGGGTACTTGTACCAAATATTCCCAGTTGCCCGCAAAGTAAAAAATCCCACTGAGGAAGTTGACGACGATTCGCTCCTCTTCCTCTTACGGCCTCCGACGATAACGCCAAACAAAGAAATGCATTCGACTCTTAAGGTTTTTTTCTTTTCAATTTCTCATTTTTCATCTATTTTCCCCTTCATTAGTCTATCTTTAAAATTCTGTTTGAAGTTTCGTAGTTCTACCCACAAAAATGTGTTACTTTTTAGTTTTGTTATTAGTATTAGTGCGTTTCTACGTACGTGACTTGATGGAATTTCCATTTTCCAATGGGTGTAGAAATATTTTGGGTACACAGAGTTTCGACCTTATCAGAAGGAGATTATAGAGAAAATTTTAGATGGAAAGGACTGTTTGGTGGTAATGGCCACCGGTAGTGGCAAGTCATTGTGGTATACTTCAACCTTTTGTCAATATTTAAACATCCCACGAACACACACACACGCTTACACACATGGGCTGATCTTTTTGCTTGAATTGTTGGTTTAAGCTATCAGGTTCCCCCATTGATCTCCGAAAAGACTGCTTTAGTTATAAGTCCTCTCATTTCTTTGATGCAAGATCAGGTAAAAAATCTAGTGTCGTATGCTTTTTTCTCGTAGCATAAAAAAGATGTCGTGAAGATACTCTGTCCTGGCGTAGGTGATGGCATTGAAACAAAGGGGGATTGAAGCTGATTATCTTTCAAGTGCTCAGACTGATCGTGGGGTGCAGACAAATGCTGAGTTGGGTCACTATGACGTTCTGTATATGACTCCGGAAAAGGCTTGTGCGCTCCCTAACAGGTGTGTATTCTAGAAACACGTATGTCTAAGTGAAAAAAGCTCCATGAATACCTAAAGGAAGTACTTATTTACTTCCCTCTATGCATTTTCTGGACCATCTGGGAAGAAAGGAACAATGTTTGCTTTGAGGACAAGAGGAATCACATTGCTAGAATAAAAATATTTGTCTTCAAAATTTATTTTTTTGGTGTAAGAAACGTTTAGTTGAAAGTCTAGATCAATATATGGAGTTTTTGGATGTGCTAAGCAACTTGTAACTGAAAGTATGCTATTATAGGTGTTGTCCAATCTTGGTGTAATCTTATGTACCATCTTGGTACTTTTATCAATAAAACCTTTACCTTATAAAAAAAAGAAGAAGAAAAAGGAAGTACTTATTCACTCTTACAACTTCTGTAGCATTGCCGAATCCAGTGATTCAGCTAATATCTTGCTGAAGAAGTTCATCAAAACAAAACGGGTTTTCGATATAAAACACTTGCAAGATTTTTATATATATCTCAGAGATTATTTCTGCTCCTAGCATGAGTTCTCATATCAAGTTGCGGGCAAGAGGATTGTTGTGTATAACTGGTTAGGCTCCACTATTGTTGATGGATTCCTTCAATTTCACGTTCACCTGCTGCATGTATTCTCTCTTCAGTCTTTAGATGGCCCAATTTGGCTCATGTGAAAAACACTGGAACTTTCCGTAAACAGCTAGTCTAGGTTTTACACTGACTACTGTTGACTATTTTTGTTGTTGTTTTTGTTGTTTTCTGTCATTCACTTAGCGAGGTTTTTATCCTAGCAGTAATGATGATTTTCAAGTTAAGAATCTTAAGATGTTTTTTCCAATGGGTTTAGCTTATTTTACATATGAATGAGTTCCATCCTTACTTTTGGAACGTGCTAGCAGTTTCTGGTCAAGATTGTTGAAAGCTGGGATGTGTCTCTTGGCTGTTGATGAAGCACACTGCATTTCAGAATGGGGTCACGATTTCAGGTCAGATTGCACCACATTATCCTTGCATTTTGACATTTGAATTGTTCACGGATTCTTTGGTCCATCTGGCATGGTTATTAGCAAATGTATTATTTGAGTATCCTGCCCGTGTATGCTATGCTGCTTCAAGAAAAAAAGACCAAGTTTAGAGGTACTGATAGCAGTGGCTGAAGATCAATAAATTTCAAGATTATATTTTCCGAGTTGTGCAATTCTTCCGAGCTGAAAAATGTGAAACAGTGGTAGTTGAATCGCTTGGGATCCAGTTTTGCTTCTTGGTTACATGTTCATTTAAGTGTCTCCATATGGAGAAACACTCTAGAGTGTAATGATTTTATGAGAAGCAGGAGTAAGACATAATACTGGAAGTATGGTCCCCATTTCCCAAGAGGGATGAAGGTGAAGTGAGACTGCGATTGCAGTGCCTAAATGTTGACAGTTCAAATATTCACTCAGTTTGACTGGATAATTGAATGATAGATGAAGAATGAAGTTGTAATATGTAGAATTAAAATCTTATTACTTAAATTGCAGCAGCGTTGAACTGTTGATGGGGTGCTATGCGTTAGAAAGAGATACCTAATAAAGTGAAATCTTACTACTTGGTGAAACGGGAAATTACTACGATGGGTAAAGACTAGGAGGACTGGGCATAAAAAATATGAGACTCCAAAATAGAAGCTTACTAAAGAAGTGGCTATGGAGGTTTAATAAAGAGGATGATGCCTTATGGATATGTTTGATTAAAGAGAAATATGGAAAGCAAGGAGAATGGTGGACCCAAGCACCCGCAGGAACTTATAGGTTGGGCTGCTGGAAAAATATTATGGTCATGTGGCCTGATTTTGAGAAAATAGTGGGTTTTAAAATTGGAAATGACAGAAGAATTTCCTTTTTCTTTATCAGTAAATGTAACTTCTATATAAATTACCAGCGAAAGGAAATTTCCTTGTGAATAGGTGACAGAAGATTATCCTTCTTTCATGACGACTTGATCGGGCATACCCCCATGAAGGAGCAATTTCATCAGCTTTACAATCTGGTGAATAAATACAAATTTATCTCAGTGCAATGTAAAGGATACAATGTGAGGTTCAGAAGAAACTTGAACTACTTGGAGCTAGAAAGTAGCATTTTTATCTTAGGACTCTAGAAGAGTGCAAAGAGCTACTCTGATGCAGAAGATTCTTGTGTGGAAGGCACAAGGAAAGGGGATGTTTACTGTTTAAGACGTGCTTCCTATGTCTTACAAAAAGGGATGGACGGTACAATGCAGCAAGGGGGGAGAAGTTCTGGAAATCTGAAGCACCTCTGGAAGTGACTTGTCTCTTGGATGGTGTCTCATCAAGTGCACTTGTTCCAAGAGAACCTCCAGAAGAGAGGAGTCCAGCTGTGCAATCGATGCTACCTATGAGAAGAGCATGAAAGCATTAATCATGTAATTGCACTGCTGTAAAGCAAGCCAGTTATGGTCCTTTTTCCTAAGCACACCGGGGATGACTTGGACTATGCCTGGAACAACAACGGAACTGATAGATTGCTAAGGCTAAAGAGGTCAGAGTGAAGCTCGGGGAAGATAATATGGAACACCATCTCTGTATGCATTTGGGGGATGTGAGAAGGTACGGGAGAAAATATGATATATTGATATTGTTTGTGATGCAATACAAGAGGTGCTATTTATAGCTACTCTATACAAAGGGGATACTACTCCTATTCCAATGTGGGACAATTACATAGCTATCTCTAACACTCCCCCTCAAGCCGGAGCATATAAATCATGTGTATCGAGCTTGTTACATATATAATCAATGTGAGGACTAGTGAGGGACTTGGTGAAAATATCTGCAAGTTGATCATTCGATCTCACAAACTTAGTAGTAATATCTCCTGAGAGTATCTTTTCTCTGACGAAGTGACAATCAATCTCAATGTGTTTAGTTCTCTCATGGAACACCGGATTTGATGCAATATGAAGTGCAGCTTGATTATCGCACACAAGTTCCATCCGACTGATTTCACCAAATTTCAACTCCTTGAGCAATTGTTTGGTCCAGACTAGTTCACATGTTGCCATAGCCATTGCTCGGTATTCTGCTTCTGCACTAGACCGAGCAACTACATTCTGTTTCTTACTTTTCCAGGACACCAAATTTCCTCCTACTAAAACACAATATCCAGACGTAGAACGTCTATCAGAAGGTGATCCTGCCCAATCAGCATCCGAGTACCCAACGATCTGCTCATGACCTCGATCCTCAAACAGTAATCCTTTACCTGGAGCCGATTTTATATACCGGATAATGCGGACAACTGCATCCCAATGACTATCACAGGGAGAATTCATAAACTGACTTACAACACTCACAGGATAAGAAATGTCGGGCCTAGTCACTGTGAGATAATTTAATTTACCAACCAGCCGCCTATAGCTTGCAGGATCGCTAAGTGGCTCCCCCTGTCCAGGCAGAAGTTTAGAATTCGGATCCATCGGCGTGTCAACAGGTCTGCAACCTGTCATCCCTGTTTCCTCAAGAATGTCTAACACATATTTCCTTTGAAAAATAACAATACCTGAGCTAGATTGAGCAACCTCCATACCTAGAAAGTACTTCAATCTGCCTAGATCCTTAATTTGAAAGTGCTGGAAGAGATGCTGCTTCAGATTAGTAATACCATCCTGATCATTGCCCGTAA